GTAATGGCCCAGTGAGTGTATGTAATGGCACAGTGAATGTATGTAATGGCACACTGAGTGTATGTAATGGCACAGTGAGTGTATGTAATGGCACAGTGAGTGTATGTAATGGCAGTGAGTGTATGTAATGGCACAGTGAGTGTATGTAATGGCACAGTGAGTGTGTGTAATGGCAGTGAGTGTATGTAATGGCACAGTGAGTGTATGTAATGGCAGTGAGTGTATGTAATGGCACAGTGTGTGTATGTAATGGCACAGTGAGTGTATGTAATGGCACAGTGAGTGTGTGTAATGGCACAGTGAGTGTATGTAATGGCACAGTGAGTGTATGTAATGGCACAGTGAATGTATGTAATGGCACAGTGAATGTATGTAATGGCAGTGAGTGTATGCAATGGCACAGTGAGTGTATGTAATGGCACAGTGAGTGTATGTAATGGCACAGTGAGTGTATGTAATGGCAGTGAGTGTATGTAATGGCACAGTGAGTGTATGTAATGGCACAGTGAGTGTATGTAATGGCACAGTGAGTGTGTATAATGGCACAGTGAGTGTATGTAATGGCAGTGAGTGTATGTAATGGCACAGTGAGTGTATGCAATGGCACAGTGAGTGTATGCAATGGCAGTGAGTGTATGTAATGGCACAGTGAGTGTATGTAATGGCACAGTGAGTGTGTTGTAATGGCACAGTGTGTGTGTGTAATGACACAGTGAGTGTATGTAATGGCAGTGAGTGTGTAATGGCACAGTGAGTGTATGTAATGGCACAGTGAGTGTGTTGTAATGGCACAGTGTGTGTGTGTAATGACACAGTGAGTGTATGTAATGGCAGTGAGTGTGTAATGGCACAGTGAGTGTGTGTAATGGCACAGTGAGTGTGTGTAATGGCACAGGGAGTGTGTGTAATGGCACAGGGAGTGTGTGTAATGGCACAGTGAGTGTGTGTAATGGCACAGTGAGTGTGTGTAATGGCACAGTGAGTGTGTGTAATGGCACAGTGAGTGTGTATAATGGCACAGTGAGTGTATGTAATGGCACAGTGAGTGTATGTACTGGAACAGTGAGTGTATGTAATGGCTGAGTGTATATACCGGTACTTGTACAGTGATCAATAAGTGGTCAGTGAGTTAGATCCCACAGTGAGATAAACTCACAAACCCAAACTGAGTTAGACCCCACAGTGAGATAAACTCACAAATCCAAACTGAGTTAGACCCCACAGTGAGATAAACTCACAAATTGCAACTGAGTTAGAATCTGCAGTGAGATAAACTCACAAACCCAAACTGAGTTAGACCCCACAGTGAGATAAACTCACAAATTCAAACTGAGTTCGACCCCACAGTGAAATAAACTCACAAATCTCAACTGAGTTAGGCACCACAGTGAGATAAACTCACATATTGCAACTGAGTTAGAATCTGCAATGAGGTAAACTCACCAATCTCAACTGAGTTAGACCCCACAGTGAAATAAACTCACAAATCTCAACTGAGTTAGGCCCCATAGTAAGATAAACTCACAAATCCCAAATGAGTTAGACCCCACAGTAAGATAAACTCACAAATTGCAACAGAGTTAGAATCTGCAGTGAGGTAAACTCACAAATCTCAACTGAGTTAGACCCCACAGTGAGATAAACTCACAAATCCCAACTGAGTTAGACCCCACAGTGAGATAAACTCACAAACCCAAACTGAGTTAGAATCTGCAGTGAGGTAAACTCACAAATCTCAACTGAGTTAGACCCTACAGTGAGATAAACTCACAAATTCAAACTGAGTTAGACCCCCACAGTGAGATAAACTCACAAATCTCAACTGAGTTAGGCCCCACAGTGAGATAACCTCACACATTGCAACTGAGTTAGAATCTGCAGTGAGATAAACTCACAAATCTCAACTGAGTTAGGCCCCACAGTAAGATAAACTCACAAATCCCAAATGAGTTAGACCCCAGAGTGAGATAAACTCACAAATTGCAACTGGGTTAGAATCTGCAGTGAGATAAACTCACAAATCTCAACTGAGTTAGACCCCACAGTGAAATAAACTCACAAATCCCAACTGAGTTAGGCCCCACAGTGAGATAACCTCACACATTGCAACTGAGTTAGAATCTGCAGTGAGGTAAACTCACAAATCTCAACTGAGTTAGACCCCACAGTACGATAAACTCACAAATTGCAACTGAGTTAGAATCTACAGTGAGGTGCACAAACAAATCTCAACTGAGTTAGGCCCCACAGTGAGATAAACTCACACATTGCAACTGAGTTAGAATCTGCAGTGAGGTAAACTCACAAATCTCAACTGAGTTAGACCCCACAGTACGATAAACTCACAAATTGCAACTGAGTTAGAATCTACAGTGAGGTACACACACAAATCTCAACTGAGTTAGGCCCCACAGTGAGATAAACTCACACATTGCAACTGAGTTAGGCCCCACAGTAAGATAAACTCACAAATTGCAACAGAGTTAGAATCTGCAGTGAGGTAAACTCACAAATCTCAACTGAGTTAGACCCCACAGTGAGATAAACTCACAAATCCCAACTGAGTTAGACCCCACAGTGAGATAAACTCACAAACCCAAACTGAGTTAGAATCTGCAGTGAGGTAAACTCACAAATCTCAACTGAGTTAGACCCTACAGTGAGATAAACTCACAAATTCAAACTGAGTTAGACCCCCACAGTGAGATAAACTCACAAATCTCAACTGAGTTAGGCCCCACAGTGAGATAACCTCACACATTGCAACTGAGTTAGAATCTGCAGTGAGGTAAACTCACAAATCTCAACTGAGTTAGGCCCCACAGTGAGATAAACTCACAAATCTCAACTGAGTTAGGCCCCACAGTAAGATAAACTCACAAATCCCAAATGAGTTAGACCCCAGAGTGAGATAAACTCACAAATTGCAACTGGGTTAGAATCTGCAGTGAGATAAACTCACAAATCTCAACTGAGTTAGACGCCACAGTGAAATAAACTCACAAATCCCAACTGAGTTAGGCCCCACAGTGAGATAACCTCACACATTGCAACTGAGTTAGAATCTGCAGTGAGGTAAACTCACAAATCTCAACTGAGTTAGACCCCACAGTACGATAAACTCACAAATTGCAACTGAGTTAGAATCTACAGTGAGGTGCACACACAAATCTCAACTGAGTTAGGCCCCACAGTGAGATAAACTCACACATTGCAACTGAGTTAGAATCTGCAGTGAGGTAAACTCACAAATCTCAACTGAGTTAGACCACACAGTGAAATAAACTCACAAATCTCAACTGAGTTAGGCCCCACAGTAAGATAAACTCACAAATCCCAAATGAGTTAGACCCCACAGAGAGATAAACTCACAAATTGCAACTGGGTTAGAATCTGCAGTGAGATAAACTCACAAATCTCAACTGAGTTAGACCCCACAGTGAAATAAACTCACAAATCCCAAACTGAGTTAGACCCCAGAGTAAGATAAACTCACAAATTGCAACTGAGTTAAAATCTGCAGTGAGATAAACTCACAAATCTCAACTGAGTTAGGCCCC